TGAAACCCGGGTTTGAAAAAAAGGAGAACAATCTAACACTTTAATAGCATATTTTTATAAAAAATTCGCGAAAAAACAAAAAAAAAAATGCATATATCCTTAAAATGTTTCTGTGGCCAGACTTTTGTGGTTCAGTGCATATATTTTTGTTTTTGGAAAGGCAAATGGTTATTTGATAGCAATTAATTTCGAATTTTGTTGTTGTGCTTCACATTTCTCTTAAAGAACCTTAAGCTGTGATTTTGGTAAGAGCGAATAAAAATCGCTCTTACCGAAACCGCTGTCTTTGGCTAAGTGTCGGCGTTAAATATTTGATCGCCCCATTTGTATGACAAACCATGTGCATCATTTGTGAAATTGGAGCAAAAGCTTTGTTAAGCACTTAGCAAAAATTTGAGCGCAAGTTTTTTTTATATATTTTTTAAGATAAAAGGCATGCCAAGTACATTTTAAAAATAAATAAATATTTCTATGTAATGCGTATGAGTCATACGGTATGACACATTACCTTATAAGCAAAAACCACAGGAGTCAAATATGTAGTACACATCTGCATACATACAGTCAGTCAATAAAGTTTAGGTACCGCGAATTTTTTACAGTACGGGCAACTACTTTTTAAATATTTTATTTTTCGATAATTTTTTATAAAAATACGGTTAGTTCTACAATAAAAAACCAAAAAATCAGAGTTCCAAACCTTGTGCAAAATTAAAGAAAATTTTGCAAAATTTCATTTAAATATTCCACTTTTTATTTACGCTCTCTAGAAAAAAGTTGAGTATGCAGTTTTTTAGCCCATTCAATTTTAGTATAACAAAGGGCAAGTTTGAGGTAGCTAGGCCTTATCATTGATTTAAAGCAGTTTTTTTTGTTGAAGGTGTCGCTCATTTTCTCCATATAAAATAATGTTTGATAATTTTTTTATATGGAAAAAATGTGCGACACCTTCAACAAAAAAATTCGCCAAAAATCGATGGTAAGTCCTAGCTCCTCATACTTGCACTTTATTATACTAAAATTGAATGGGATAAAAAACTGCATACTCAGCTTTTTTCTAGAGAGCGTAAATAAAAAGAGCAATATTTGAAAGAAGTTTTGCAGCATTTTCTTCAATTTTGCACAAGGTTTGGAACTTTGATTTTTGGGGTTTTTGTTGTAGAATTGACCATATTTTTATAAAAAATTAGCGAGAAATAAAATATTTTAAAAATAATTGCCCGTATTGTAAAAAATTCGCTGTACCTAAACTTTATTGACTGACTGTATGTATGTATGTCTGTGGCATTTCATTAAAACAGTTCATCTCGAAATAGGCCATTTTTGCTTTGGCGCAATATTTCATTGGGTTCCTAAACAATATTTTAACGATAAGCTATCCATAGGCGTAGGTTCAGATGCCCTTTTAATAGAAGCTTAGTAAAAATGAATAATTTTTCAAGGGAAACTTACTAAATACTACATAATGTATACAATTGGAATCAAATATTATATATTGCTTATCTCCAATAGCCTAGGATATAATTTTAAAACTATTTAGGGGCTTCCCTTAAACTGGAAAAAGCCTTGAAAGCTTCGAAAAACTCAAAACTTTTATTGCGAGGTCAAGATTTGTATGAATTAAAAAACCCGTTTTGATCGAAAAAAAACCCGGTTTATTCGATAATTAAAAAATCAAGCTTTCAAAAAAACCGCATATAATATAATAATAATAGATTGGCGTTTACACCTATGTTAGTGTTTGGCCGAGCTTCTCCTCCGATTTGCGGCGTGCGCCTTGATGTTGTCACACAAAGCGGATGGACCTACAGTTTTACGTCGACTCCGAACGGCGATTGTATTTTTATGACAAGCTGTTTTTCTTGGCAGAAATGCAGTTGGAGGTTTGCCATTGCCTGCCGAGGGATGACCGCTGTTAAGAAAAACTTTTTTTAAATTTTTTTTTGCGATGTTGCTTTGACCAGGGTTTGAACCCAGGCGTTGCGGAGTGGAAGCGCGCACTGCTTACCACTACACCACAGCGCCCGAAAAACCGCATATAGATATAAAAAAAAAGCAAAATGGTGGAAACCGGTTTGGAAAAACGGAGGCAATCACCCTACAGCTTAGTGAGGTAGATAGGCTAGAGATCTAGATATTTATGTAGTACATTCGTATTCTGGTAGACTTCGAAATCGTCATCCGCAAAATGGTAATTTAAAAAGCATATGAAAAAAGATCGAATTTCACCAACTAGGCGATATTAGTTATTATTAGAATCCGGACGAATGCTCGGCTTACCGATCAATCGGCAATATTTTCATATTCGGCTGAATGCTCGGCTTCGGCAAAAAAACACTACCGAAGTTTTTGCCGAACCCGAGACTTTTTGCTATCTAGATTGTTTTTTAGCATTAATAATCTGTTTCAAAAAAATGTGGCATTGCAACTTTATGTTAAAATCTGCTGTCAACTGGGAACTTCGGAATTTGAGGTAATAGCAAAGGGAACCGGGTCCAGTGTGGTACCCAGTGAGGGTTTTATGGTCACCTCTACCTAAATTAAGAAGATTATTTAAAGCTTCTTTTGGCTTGTCTCTGCCCTGAACATTTCACCCACTGCCTGTTGTTTTGTTCACGCAGTTATTTATGACCCCCATGTGTGCTTTGGTGAGCCCAACACTCTTAATATATGGGGGATAACTATACATTGATAAAGATTTTTTTGAAATTCGGCTCAAATAATCCAGCATCAGTTTTGCCATTTTCACGTCGTACAGATCCAACTGAGTACAAAGCCTCCTCATATAGGTTCGGTGTGTGGGAACCCTGCATACAAAGAGATTTCTACGGCATCACGCATCTCTAATATGGAATCATTAGCGAACTTCAGTTGGACCTTAATATGACCCGTCATATTTCCGATTTTCAGCTCGGAGCTGTTTAGGACTCTCAGTGCCGCTGTGGTTGCCTCTTGTTCTATTAAAATAGAAAAGAGAGGTATTCCAACCAATCCAGGTATTCTTATATAAGCTCTACACAGCAATTTTGGCCATGTAGACCCAGTTTCGAAGCGCTGTGTAAATATTTGTGTTGATTATATAATACTGCTCTCGACTGACGCGCAATCTGAACAATACGCTTCTTATTTCTGTGGCAGTATTTCCTTGAAGGCTTGGACAGTTAAGATAACATTTCACTGAAATAGTAGCTCTTTGAACAGGCCAAAAAACCAGAACCATTTTAGACATAGGTCTGGTGAAATTTGTCTACTCCCGGGCAACAGAATAGGCCTTTGTTTCATTCATGTGAACTTTTAATACTTAAAAGCGAAGCCGTCGAAATCTATGCTCCATTAACATCACCGTTGTATACTGGAGGAAAGGGAGCTATATCTCAAAATCATTCGTCAAATTCTTGGTATCGGGGCCTTTACTTTCACATAAAGCGGTATATTATAGTCGAAAAGGCTCAAACATATGAATATAAAGCGTACAAAAAGTGAATGTATGATTTTAGAGATTTCAAACCCCACTTTAGGACAAAACGATCAACAGATGTTAGACGTTGTCAAAAACCCGTTGAAATTAAATTCCGATATTTATCAAAAATTAAAGGACTTTTAAAATAAACATGACTTATAAGGCGGATTCACCGTTTTAGTTCTGAACTAAAGTTGAAGTTAAGTTAACAACTCAAACGCGTTCTGAACTTTTCTCAGTTGCTCTTCTGGAGAGATAAACACAACAACAACCAAATGGAAGAAAATTTCTGTACTACATAGAGCGATGAATCCGACTTTAAATGCGTAAAGTAGAAGTACCTCAATACTAGCTTATCGGCTACTAGAAACTACTAACTCGCTAGTTAAATAAAAAGTAATAAAAATTGTACATATACATAAGTAAACATACAAAGCTTTCGCTTGTGGCGCGCATGCAATTAAGGGATCTGCGTCTCTGCTCCCACCGTCCATGGCTCCACCTAACCACTGCTGAGTGCTGTTCAATTGCAACGAAGCGAAGGTCTGAGAGGGCATTTCATTTTGGAAATCGATTTTTTTTAATGTTTTGTTATCAAATTCGTATTTGTAAATGCCACCAGTTTCTCTAGGTTCACGATAAGCTTCAACAGTTCGCGCTCGTGGTGCACCAATGATAACACTAAAATAAAAATAAAAATTCTTTATAGTTGTTCTCAAAAAAAAAAAAATAGCAACGGCGTAAAGTTTTGATGTAGATTGATTTTTTCTAACCTTTTTTCGCGGAGTACGATCGTATAACCGAAATATGAACTATACTGGTAATTTGCATTAATTTTATTGATTTCATCTTCTACCGTTTCGCGTATAATCAAATTTGGCTTAGGGGCTAAATTAAATGACTGCACCGCAAATAATTTCAACCACACTATTACACAAAATACAACGTAGCGATGCATTTTTCAAGACTGGTTTCCAATTTTCGCGCGAACCGACGTGTTTTATCTACCAGCTTCAACTAAAAACGAGTTCGCCTGATATTTTTGGCTTAACTTTGGTTTTATGCAAAATTTCTTTTTTCCCTAAAAGTACGTATTACTAATTTGCTGATAACAGAAATTCATTTAAACATAATTTCCAATGCTGACATACATGTTACCATAAGGTTTGTTCGTCGAGCAAAAAATTTGTACGAATTATCATGACTTTTGCCCAAACCGCGTTCGTGCAGACCAAAAAATTATCCATCACTCAAAAACTGAGAGCGCAAAGTGAAAGTTCTCTTGAGAGAAGTTGCAAATTCTTTCTGGAAAAATTTCAGCCAGCAAGAATTGGCAATCACGAAAAACATATTATTGAGGCACATGGTTGCATTTTTGTTTACGATAATTAGAATAAATAAGTTCGTTAAATTTAAAAATTTATAAACACGAGCGATTTTTTTTTATGAAAAAAAGGAAGTAAATACTTGTTGATATAATTAATTTAGTTAATTCCATTGGTTTGACTTTACTCGCTGAAAAAAAATTGTATTCTCAATCGGAATGCAATTGCAACCAGAGTCGAGAAAGTCAGAACAACAAGAAATATACATGTACATATGTCCTGTTTTTGTCCATCTGAAAGAATTTTAAAAATTCTATAAAAATGTATTATGTTTGAAATGCAACCGTGGACACCAGCTGGCAGGGAAACTTGCGAATTCCTGCCAATTTCCGTTCGTGCAGAAATTTGCAAGTTTCTCAACATGAGAGAGAGTTTGAGAGAATTTTTTCTTACTCTCGATGCTTTCCATTTCCAGACAACCGGTCAGGTACGAGCATGATTTTTGATTTCGACCAAACTCAAATACATTGTTTGTTGGTCCAAATAATGAGACACGTATTTTTGCTTTTGGCTCGGAAAAATTTTTCGGCCGAATTAAGTGAGAATTTTTTTTTGAATGCCCATAACTTTGTCAAAATTTAATAGATTCCAACAATGTTTTTACTTAAATGTCAGTAATTCTTGTCACTTCAAGATAGAATAATATAATTATTGATTTTCATTATTTACAATTTTTTATTTAACAATAAACAAAAAGTGAAAATTTTTTTTTAAATTTAAATTCTCAAAAAGTGTATTTTTTTTCTCTCAAACTTTTTTACCGGGAAAGAGACACTTTGAACTACAATCAACCCAAATCTCTAATAGCGATGATTTTTTTTTTTCTGGGTTATGATTTTTTATAGGAAATATACGTTTTTGTGGTACATACTACAATACATATTCTTATATTGTTTAACTAAATGGAACATATGTATGTAATATATCAGCAAAAAGTACAGCCGTGATCATTTTTTGTGTATCAAATAGATATTAGAACACACTTTCCACCATACAGTTTCGAAATACAAAATCACATTTTCCCGCTTTTTATAATCGAAACTGTATGGTGGAAATACGTGTCTCATTATGTGGACCAACAAACAATGTATTTGAGTTTGGTCGAAACTAAAAATCATGCTCGTACCTGACCGCTTGTCTGGAAATGGAAAGCATCATTCGACATAGTGTAATAATAATTTCAAACTTTATAATCATAATTAAAAAAAAGTCAGCAAAACAATGCCAAAAAATAACGGTAAATCCGAGAAACTTCCAACTATTTATTCACCCGTCACCGCATATACCTACATGAGGAATGTACTAAGATATCGTGGGATTTCTGGTCTTGCAATATATACTAAATAAATTCCAACGTCAAAGTTTACCCTCGGCAACATGAAAACCCTATGCGTGAGTGGGTCATGGTAGAACGGTTTGAGAACAAGCACCTTGTGTGCCCGGACCCATCATGGGAAAGATCCATCCAGCTAGTTTTCATTCTCCTGTGAAGAGGAATCCTGACATCACCGCAATTAAGGAAATGCAATGCGCGGGCTAAGGAAAGAAAACCATTCGTCCTTGTGACATGCAATCAAATTGACAAAGGATCGCTTCTATGAGTATTTGGAGCTCTCTTTGGAGTAGCCGCTCTTCAGGCTATAAAAAGCTTGATTGTTGACCTCAATTTTGGGGTGGGAAAATGAACGGATACTTAGTTGAGTACCGACGAAACGTCAGACAATAGGCTAAAGCTGAAAAAATATTCACTCAAAGCACGTTTTCGAATTTCGTAAATTGTTCAAAACACTGTTTTAAGGCTTTGATTACTATATTTTATTCAAAAAATAAAACAATATAGTTCTAAGAATATTTATGACTATTCAAAAGCACTTTTATACAAAATAGCTAAAAACTACTATTATAATACTCGAACTAAAAATATTTATTGTTTTTTTCTAACTGCGAAGTTTTCACAAAGATCACTCATTTGTAGGTATGTATGTGTATACGCACATATATTTATGTATATAGACAAAAAAAATAGTGACAATTAATAATTTATATAAATATTTCATTAAAACATAAATATGTATACATATGTACATTTACATGTATTACTCTAACTTAAAAAATATTTTACTAATTAACAAAGTCTTTTTACATAAAAATACAAACACATTTATATTTAAAATATATGAAAAGTAAAATTAAGAAATAAAAGCGAAAAATAGATTGTACATGTGAATGCTGTCAGGGCATTCAGCTTCATTTGTCTGTATACAAGTATACAAATTCAATTTGCAATTTAAATATTTACTACATACATATGTACATACATAATATTTTATCAACTGTAAAAACAAAAACAAGATTTGAAATTGTAAAAAATAGCTACTCTAAAAAGAATTTACTTATGGAGATAAGAATTTTATGTGGTGAAATTTTGAAGCAAAAGTTCAGTTTCTTTTTCAAGTCCGCTGCCCACCGTTTATCGTTTATTGGAGCAGCACGCAAAAAAAGAAATATTGTCTTAAATATTTATACACATGGCAGCTGGCTTTAAAGTAATATTGTTGTTGTTGTATTTTATAATTTTTAAACTAAATTTTATTTTATATAATACAAGGATAAATAAATACAATGCAACACTTATAACTACTATACGAATCGATTCATTCATTTGGTTTCGTCTTTTTTACATAAATAATACGATTCGTTGTGTTCAATAATAAACTAAGTTTTAAAAAATTTTATTTCAAAAACAAAGAAATGCAACATTGCCACCTTTTATACAAAATTAAGTTAGGCTGTTTCGTTAAAGCAAACGCGAGTTAAATCTACGATAATATGCACAGCTCAGTTCCCGCGCCTTTACTTGTGTGTGTGGGTGTGTGTTTGCGTTGTGTGATGATAAAGCCATTCGTTTCGTAATTATTGCAGCGTAAAATTTGTAAAAAAATATTCTTTGATTTTTTTTATCTAAAGTGTTGTTTTTTTTTTAATTTCTGTCAGTATTTAGGTTTTCGGCTTCTGGCTCTACATCATCTCGTGCCGGTCTTGTGGAACCTTGATG